GTACACATGGTTGCCAGGTTGACAAAGATAAGTAGCACACTTAGCAGATATTTCCGTATTGCGCAAGTGTAAAGCTCTGTTTTGGGGATTACGTCTCTTTATATCAGGCAACCCAGTTGTTTTCCTCTGCGGCCAGGTTAAACCTTGTTGTAGCCTATATATGCTCTATTCATTCTTTTTTAGAAACCTCGCACTTTTCTACTCCATTTTAAACGCGGTCCACTGCTGAACACGTGCCACAATATCGATACAGGGCCAGCTGTATCGATACTCGTATCGTCAAATCTCTGTGACGCTACATCGTCGTATCGATATTTTGAACATAGCACTAGTTCCAGAACGGTTTAACCCAAATATTCAGATGTGTGCAGCACATTTTATGGAGGACTGTTTACTGATCCTGGTAGAGTAGACTACAATGCCGGCTGTTCTGACTCACGGACTGTAAGTACGTTTTTTATATTTATAGAGTTTTTATATTTTATATATTTAAAGCGAGTTTTTTGGGCAGTGTAGAGTAGGGCTTGTTGTTTGTAATTTCTCCGATCACAGATGCAGACATGCATTTGCATTGCATTGCGATGCAACGTGTAAAAAGACAGTATAAGTCCATAATTATGTCCCCACTGGATGCCACGAATGCCTCGTTTATAATGGGTTTTATTGGTTTTGTCTCGTCGCTCCATCACAGTATGGTAAGGGGCGTAACATTTCTGTCACACGCTTGAGGAATTCGGCCAATCACAACGCACTGGATAGCTGGCCAATCACAGCACACCTTGCTTTTCAGACCGATGAGCTTTGTAAAAGCTGACGCGTTTCAGAAAGGCGGGGCATAGAGGAGAAACAATGTAACATGTACAGTATGTGGAAAATAATGTGTTTTTTTAACCTTAAACCGCATAAACACATTTCATTACACCAAATACACAAAATAATGTTCTTTTTAGCAACATCATATGACCCCTTTAAAAGCCATGGTAATTAATGCATAGTAATCCAGTAGTAGAGTGAATGTAACTAACAACCAATGTGCAAGACCTCTCCAAAAATAAAACCGCACATGTGGTGGTCGAGGAAGACACTATAGGGACTTTTGAAGGTCATATAGAGGAGTGAGTGAGTCATGAAATAATCTGCTGCCATCATAACAAGACAGATTGATAAGACTCAAACTCTTCAATAACACATAACAGACTGAAAGGCTGCACAATCATGACCCAACAGTGACGACAGGTCAGTGTTAGCCAGCTGGACAGTCGCCCCAATTTCACAACTCATTAAACACTTACATATGTAACTTACATATGTAACTTATAAAGGACTTCAAGTATATGTGGCTGAAATGCTGGGATCAGCAGTGAAATGTCCTTGATATGATCTGACTTCATGTAAATCATCTCTTTCCAGAGTATGGGAAAGCCAGATCCATCTGAATACGTACAAATGACATTTGCATGTATGCTACACTCACATTGTTTAAAAAACATGTGCTGGATACAGCTAGCAGGCTACTGTTAGCTCTACAGTGCCAAAAACAGTGGATAGACAAAAACGAACACCAATATCACGAATATATAAGTAGAAACTCCTGTGGCACCAATATAAAAGTAAATATATAAAATATACTTAATATTTTCTCTATATAAACGACATTATGTTGCTCTTTTTGACTACAGCATGTCCTAAGTGTAACAAGTGCCAATAACTCAAATATTACTTAAATAAACATTAATTACCTGTATGTTATTATTTAAATGCTTAAATGTGTTTCATGTCACTTATTAGCGCAGCACGAACACACCTACGTGAAGCTAATGCTAATCACGTTACTGTGACAGCACAAGTTCAGATGTTTACACCGCTAATTCATTTACTAAAAGTGTTTATGTTTGTGATTACAGAAATCTAAGCAGTCCGTAGCGCTAAATGTATGTAATTGACTACCTTCTGGTTGTGGTCCGGGGGAAAGTGACGGCTCTGTTGGGGCTGGCTGGGTCAGTGAGGCGGTTCCGACTCTGAGCTTCATCATCTTCTTCTTCTTCTTCTTCTTAAGCGTTTTTGGCGGTTGGCAAACCAGCTAATAGGTGCTTTACCGCCACCTGCTGGACTGGAGTGTGGAACAAAAGTCTGGCTGAGAAATATAACAGGATTAATAAAAAATTACAAAAAAAAAATTTACAAAAAAAACCCGGGGGGCAGGTTTGCCCTACTATTCTATGATCTTCATATTCGTTCTAGGATACCTGTCTCTTTCAGATATGAAATTAACTGTACATATGTTTTCCTTAGTGCTGTTCCAAGTATATTTTCCAAAGTGAATTTAAGTTTATATTTTTTCTTCCACTTACCAAATGATGATCCTTCCTGCACTAGCTTCATTATTACTTTGTATTCTCCATATTGCCATATTCTCCGATTTCCACTGTAGTTTCTCCAATTCCTTGATCACTGCCCGTACCCTCACCATTTGAGATGGTTTTTTGTTTATGCCGTCTACGCTTTCGATTAGTTTTAATGTCTACCGAATTCCAGTCTTTAAATTTCCCGCTACCTACTTCCATTCTTCCTGCTTCGCTATCAAATCCGTCACTTCCTTCTGCCATCTCCTGTCCATTCACAGTCCAGTTGTTGCCAACCCCACCAATGATCTTCTTCCATCATCTTCTTCTTCTTCTTCTTTAAATTTTACTGGCGGTTGACAAACAACAAAATGGTGTATTTCCGCCACCAACTGGTATGGAGTGTGGATCAAAAAAGTGACTTACTTCCTCCCCCCTTTTTTTTTTATTTTTTTATTATTCCGGAAGATAAATTCTTCAGTGGTACAAGAGGATGTGGTGCTGGTCCTTCTCAACTTATCTGTCTATAAAGCATATATATATATATATATATATATATATATATATAAATCAGTTTTCAAGCATTTTACTACACTTCAGTATGTGGTTCTTATTAAGTAGGGGTTATTTTTTAGGATTCTATACTTAACCTAAGTCTCTGAGAACCTGACAGCTTGTACTTCTGGAGACTCCAGGTCGGTTGCAGTTCTGGAAAATGGTGGCGCTGGAGACTAAATGGTTCCTGGTGATTTCACACCTAATTCTTCAGCTTAATTCCTCATTCTTTTGCCGTTAACATGCATCTTTTCTTCTCCACATGTTTTTGACTGACCCTGCTGACCCACTGAGCATTTTGCTGTCCAATGGTTATGCATTAACTTTGCAATTTCTAGTATTGTATTAGTTTTGAATATTTCTCATGGGCATTTAATAATTTTTTACTTTCAGTCTGAGTTAAATCTCTTTTTTTGGGCTCATTTTATCTGTAAAAGAAATTCTGCTTAATAATTATGCACACCTGAATATAAGACATTTTTCACTTCAGCCTTCAGCCTTCATGAATAATTATATATCAATTATAAATTATTAAATACAAGATTAATAGTAGTTATAATTATTGGTAAAATGTGCTTGGAAAAAAATATAATCAGAATATCAACTTGCATAATAATTATGCATGCACTGTATTTTTCCTCTTCTGCTGTCGAGGTAATGCAAGGAATGTTGTGATTTGGTTGTCAAGGCAGCCAATCAGAATTTAGCAGCCTCTGTCTCTGATTGGCTGGAATTATGGCACATTGTAACGCTGGGTTGTGTTGAGCACGCGAGCTGTTGGCATTTAGCGAGCACAGAGGGGGGGCATCAGGTGAGCAAGCTAGTGAAACGTTGCACGCGCAAAAGAGAAGGTCTGCACACATCCAAAAACGTATTTTAAATGCAAAATTGATTTCCGTGCGCTCGAAAGACTTTTTTCTTTGCGAAATGAAAATTTTCTCCACAAACTCAGATCGCGCGCGTGCAAAATGCACTTTTGTGCGCTCAAAATATGATCTTTCGCGCGCAGAATTGTGGCAGAAATGTAAGCCCATAATTATATTCAATAAAATTCTGAAAACTATGATTCTTTTTTAACATTTTAAAAGCTTTATTTCGAGATTTAATTGGTTGATCACATTCTTTTGTCCACCATGGTACAATCTTCTTTTTTTTTTCTTACCTCCCTTCTTTCCGACTCTGAGCTTCTTTGGTTTCCAGTATTTCCACTCCAGACTAAAAGAGTGATAGACCGAAAGTGGTTACGAAAGAATCGCTTCTAGTGTTTCCACTCGCATGGCGTTTGTAGGGTGAACTAGAAGGGTCACTGCAGTGAATTGCCACTGGAGGGCGCCAAAGACCACAATACACAACATGAGAAAGGGTTTATTTATTTATTCATTTATACGAAAGAAAATAATATATAGAACATCTAAACAACCGAATGGACTCAGATGCACAAACCCCAGAGTTTTGATGACTGTAAATAGACATCATCTATTACTATAAACATTTATTTTGCTTATACATAATTGAGCAAAATTATGCATAAAACAAACAGAACATCTTTGTTTGCAGTGCCAATTAGTTGTAATAAAACAAGTACATTTAAAAATTGATTTATAATGAATTTAAATAGATATAATCATGTTAGCAGCACCAGAACAGCAGAGGGCAGTCAGGAAGGAAATGACGTGGTGCTCCGCCCTGCTTGCGTTCCACGAAACAGGGAAGGAATCTTCCTTATACGATTGAAGGGGTAATGTAAATAGTATATTTTATTTTATTAAAAAAATAGTGTGTGAAATATGAATGACTTTTCTTAATTTCCATTTTAATAACTTATATATACAAATGAATGGTAAAATCTCCTTTCTACTTGTTTCTACTAAACAAATTGTACACCATAAGATTGTTCACTCTCCCCCGTTTCTGAGATGGTACAGTATAAGCGTTCAAACATTCGCGGTAAAAATACCACTAACGTTACTCACGTCACTGTCCGACTCTGGAGATTTTGTTTCTGTCATTGTTTTTGTTTATACATATTGTTAGTGAGTATTTTATCTATCATTATATTTAATAAATGAATGCGAAGATGAGTAGGATGACGAAAGCACTGAGAGCTGTTCAGCGGGAGCTGCAGGTGAGTTCAGCTGTTCAATGTTTCTCAGCGGAATGTTTGAATCCTAATTAACTTACGCTATATTTTGACAAGTAATTCCTGAAAAATAATATTAATATCACCAACATTTATATTATGCGATAACAAATATTTTATTCTTATTTATGAGATCAAATATAGTGTCTAATATTTATAATATTCATATGACATATGTATTTTTATACATGTATTATATTATACTTATTATTTGTATATATATTTTTTACTTTAAATTATTGAAACATGTCATTTTAATGCCACCAGTATTTATAATTTATAAGAATTTATTTTTGTTCTTTATGATAATGTAATATTTCATAGTAGTATGGCATATGTAATATTATACATGTATTATATATTATATTTCTTAGATTATGTCTTATTTTTTATTATTTGTTATTCCTCAAACATAATATTAATATCACCAATGTTAATGTTATGTAATAACAAATAATATATTTTTATTGTTGTTGTTTAGTATATAATAGAATATTTAATGTAACTTATTAATATGACATATATAATACTTGTATACGTGTGGATAGGTGATAAATAGGCAGTAAAAAATGTTTTTTGTAAAAGACCATTTTTGAAGAAGAAATACATATATTTATGTAGTGTGAAGTCTGATGTTTGAGAAAATATAAGGGGTCACTAACTTTGTCAATTCTTTCACTGTTTTTTATTTTTTACATTTTTACTGAACTGTACCGTAAATGAGTCCTATGGTGTGACAGCAAAAATTAAGGAAAAAAAACTCTTAATAATAGCATGAGAGATTTATCTTCATTGTTAGACACTTATTTCCATATAGTGTTATTTATTTGATATGAAATTATGAATAACATCCTTTTTTCCCCATGACTTGTAGGACATTTTCAAGACAAACTTTACTGTCATCCTTTCAAAACTGCTGACTTATACCATTTGTGTTCTGGATTGTTTTATATACGTATATATAATATGAATGATACATTTATGGCCTTTATGATTGGCCAGTTTGTTGTGATTGTTTCAGTTATTTACTGAATTGAATAAATTAATATTTAAAGGTGTTAACTGTAGTCTTATACTGCAAAAAGATAACTTATAAAGGATTAAATTCATCACAATTATGTAATGAATGAAGCGCTCAAAAAATGTTTGACAAAGCCCTAAAAAAGACAATTAATCATCAAAGCCCTAAAACTGAAATTAAGCAGCATAATTATATATTTTAGACCATTAATCCTCTGCCAAATTTAATAATTGTGACAGCCCTAATTTTTATTTATCTATTTACCTTTTTTAGCAGTTGAAAGATAGTAAAAAATATTGTTTGATGAGTGATATCTCTGTAGTCCTTGAAAACCAAAAAAGTAGTGCTTGAAAAGTCCTGGAATTTATTTTTACAGTATCTGTACGAACCATGATATATGCAATAATATGCACTTAAAGTTTGGACACAATTGAAAGAATTTGTTGTTAATTAATTTCCGTCTTTTCTTAGGGTGCAAAACAGAGCAGTGATAATGCGGTGGAGTCTCCACAGCCCCTGGACATTTCATCCATAGAGAAAACCAGTTTATTTCATGGAGACCAGTATTCTCCTCATGGTATGACAACCCTGTAATAAGCATACTGTAGTTTGGAGAGAAAAGCTTAATGTAATGTTGTTATATTGATGGCATAAAAAGCAAGTGGTCATCACTTTTTGAAAACAACGTCTGAAAGTAATATAAAGTAATATCAAAAGTGACTTTATGCAGTTCTTGCTGTCTTTTGCAGGGAACCCCCTTCACAGCACAGCTTTGGAAGAAGATCTCAGTCCTGGACCAGAACAGAACCAAAAGTCTGCTCCAGAGAAGTTGGGTCGACTGCGAGCTAGGAAGCCTGTTCTTAGTGTAACGGACACTACAGCAGTTACTCAGGCTAAGAAAATAGGCAAAGCTGTTTCTGATGCATTGAGTAAGAAAGCTTCATCCAAAGAGAACCAGGAACCACCTCAGCCAACAAATAAAGGAGCAAAATCAGTAGTAAGGTAGAGTGTGGTCCTGTGAGATCAAAGGGTTTTAAAGGCATTTCTGGTACGCAGTTATGTTTATGCTTCGGTATAATAACGTAAAGACTTTCTGTGTCATTACAGAAAAGTTAAAGGCAGACCTTTGCCAACCATATCAGAAGGCAGAGATAATGCAGGAAAGAAAAGAACATCAATCCCTACAAGCTACAGAGCCAAGGTGAGAGTTCAAAGGAATAGTTCACACAAAAATGAAAGTTTGCTTTAAATGTACTACTCACCCTCAAGGCCATCCAAGATGTAGATTAGTTTGTTTCTTCATCAGAACAGATTTAGAGAAATGTAGCATTACATCACTTGCTCACCAATGGATCCTCTGCAGTGAATGGGTGCCGTCAGAATGAGAGTCCAAACAGCTGATAAAAGCATCACAATAATCCACACGACTCCAGTCCATCAATTATTGTCTTGCGAAAAGATGTGTGTTTGTAAGAAACAAATCCATTGAGATGTTTGTAACTTCAAACCGTTGCTCTCTGCTAAAATATGAATCCATAATCCATATTAACACTTCCTCCAGTGAAAAAGTCCATCCCCTGTTGTCCTTTCACATCAAATTCCAAATTGTTTTGGACTGTTTTCACTTATAAACTGTGAATATTTGTCTACATATTTCTATCCTGATTCAGACAAGACCACTTTTTCACTGGAGAAAGCAGTATTATGGATAGAAGACCAGAAGCAATTTTTTTTGGAGTTAATGCATCTTAATGATGGATTTGTTTTTTTACAAACACACAGATTAGAACAAGATGTTAATTGATGGACTGGAGTTGTATGGATTACTTGTGCTAAATTTCTCCAAATCTGTTCAGATGAATAAACAAACTCATCACATTGGATAGCCTGAGGGTGAATACATTTTCAGCAAATTATCTTTTTTGGGTGAACCATTCCTTTAATGTCTTGATTTTCAACATCGTCTGCATTTTTTCCTGTTTTATCTGTTAAAATCTTTTTAGCTGTCTATACTTTTTAAACTGTTGTGAATTCATGGCAGAAATGAAAAGTGATGTATTTGGAATATATATATATATATATATATATATATATATAGAGACAAGTTGGCTGCCTCCCCCTAATTATCAGCATCACCCCGTCTCTTACTCGCCGCCCTCCGCCAGTCGCCCATGCCGAGCGCGCCTCTCCTCGGGAGACCGGTCTCTGCCCCGTGCATGCACGCTGGTGTCCTTGTGAGTCCAGGAAGGGTGCGTAGAGAGACTCCCGTGCCGCCAGAGTCGTGAGCTACCGGACCCGCGGTCCGATGATGCTGTTTTGTTCATAATTGTTTATTCAATTTACGAAATTTTATTTGATTTATAGGAGTTAATTTAGACGTAATGCAGGTTTTTTTATAGACATTTATTT